TAATTCTGATTTGCTAATAGAAAAAACTCTAACTTCAAAAGATGTCTTCACTTTTCTAATGACATCTGGCAGAACTCTGGAGATGTTCTATTAACTTCTAACTACAGGTAAGGATTAAATTTACTCCAAGTAAGCACAGTACAACATAGCATGTCACGTGTCACATCACACAGAACAATCAAACTCCAATACAAATGCAATGAGAGCACTGCCATATTAGACTTAAGAAAAAGTGCTCTAGTTCATCATGTAGCTGAGTTGTACATATTTAGTTTTTAATCTTTACTCATAAGTAGATTTCTCCACACAACTAATCATTGTCCCTCAATATCCTCCAATTCCCTTGGGAAAAGAATGTTAAGAAAAGCTGTCTAACTGAGGCAGAGGAGAAGGAGCCTGACCTATTACCACACAGTGAATGACACTAAGAGTCCATTATCTGTTCAAGAGTGAGCCTTAAATATTTCACCTCCCTCTACCTATGTTTTTATTTCCTTCCCTCACTCTTGGTGAGTCTATAATAAATTATTCTTTCTTTTCTGTGTGCCCAATGAATAGTAACTTTAGGCCCAAGCAAATAGTAATTTAAGTTAAACGAGACAAAGATCCAATTTCTTTGCTCCATTATTTTAATCCAATGAAGTACTAAAATAGATTCAAAGTAGCTATTTAACTGTAATTTATGAGTGCCTAGATTTAAGCATTCATATTTTTCCAGAAAATTACTGTATTGCCTCTCACTGCAATAATTTGTCTGAAAAGAAATCAACCACCAATCCCAACATTTTTTGGTTTTGACTGTACTAGTGAAAGCTCAGAGCTCCTACATAGTCAGAAGAGGAAGCTAGACCACAAAACATACAGGGCTCCTGAAAAACAAACTAGAGCCAAACCTGACCTATCAATGGGGGGTTTAGTCAGTTTACGTATGAACGATGCCCAGATGCGGACACCTAGGGCTTTCCCCCGCACAGAATTAACTGAGATCAAAAGGTTTGATTATTTATGCGAAACCATACCAAAGACTACATTATTTCCATGGACAGATTAGATCTGGAAGCAGTTCAGCTATTTCCACTCAGTTTGTAATAGTAAATATTGCCAGGCTTAACCTTGCTGTAACCCTAAAATAAGCAGAGGGAGCTTCATTAATCCTGCACTAACTGCCTACACCTGGGATGTGCCGCAGCACCACCTAAATGAAATCAAGTTCATCAGTGTAAAATCCATTTTCAATACTAACACAGTACAAAATATCCTCCTCCATTCAGTGTCCTCAATAAAAAGCGTCCCTTCTAGCGATCAGCACAAGAGATACCACATTTCTAAATTTTTCTTTCAGAAGGGAATATTTTACAAAAGGGCATGTCTCTGGTTATTTCCTTTCTCTCAGCAGTTCTCCAAAGAGCAAAAAGGCAGATGCTACCACCAGTCCCTTTACTCTCGAACTTCAGGCCACCAGCCTGAGGTAACTTCACAGGGTAACTCAACAAACCAGTACCAGTGAGAAGGAGGCACAGGGGTGCACTGGCTGTGTGGGGGCCAAACCCAGCCCAGGGAACAGCTCGGCTGGGTTACTGCCTTTGTCCGAGGGAGGCACAAAACTGCTTCAAATTCTAACGCCCTAACGCTGAATGTTACCACCTGGACTCATAATAAAAGGCTAGCTGCACCTCATTTTTCTTTCGTTACTACTACGTCTAAATATTACAAGAAGTAACGAGTGAATAATGTTCATTTTCCGCCTAGAAAAAAGTCACAAGTTTTTGGGCAAGGCATGCAGCATGTCCTTCGCTGACTGAATCGAGTGGTCCTGACAGACAAGTCAATGCTTGTGTGGACTCCGGTCCGTTCTGTGTTTCAGCGACGGCACCCAAGCCATCGCCACCACAGCTGAGGTGTGGTGAAAGGGCGGTGATAATCAAGCACCGGTCTAACTTTTTTTTTTCTGTCAAACACTGCAAATATCACTACGAGAAAACAGCTCGTACCCCTGGGGAGCCACCCGCAGAAGGCCCGAGCCTTTGCCCTGGGGAAGGCGGCCGGCGCAGGGGTGAAGGGGGGTGGGGAGGCGGCGCCCCTCACCTGTACCGGTCGCCGATGTCCGTGCCGCCCCGCTTGAGTTTTGGCTGAGGGCCTGCCCTTCTCCCGCCGCGGACAGAGGGAGCGGGGGCCCGGCTGCAGCCACCGGCGCCCGCCAGGGGGCGGCCGCAACCGCCA